AGATTCGAGATGATGAGATGGTTATTTCATTAAAAGCAATTATTTAAAACTGCATCAACAGAAAATTGCAAAAAGGCAGCTTTTAAAGCCAGAAATACCAAAAATCAGTAGACCTGGACAATGTAATAAAAGTATTAAAACCAGGTAGCTGAAGAACTCTTTGGACTACAAGTATTGACTTTAACCATCTCTTGGAGAACAAGGGCAGTTTTACAGCAAATAAGAGAAAATATCACATCAACACTTAAAAAAGGGAAATTTGAATCATTTATATACTGGCAATATAATGCTGATCATTGAAGAACAACAAAGGAGATGTTATTTCTTTAATGTCCTAAAAGAGGATTTAAAAGACAATAAATAAAAGGACGGTAAAATAATTATAAATTCTATTTTGTTCTTTTTTTAAAAAAAATTAGGCCTTTTCACAAAAATAGTAGCTTTCTATGGCAAGGCTGCAATTCAATTTGAAACAGAAAATATGATAATATGAAAATCAGAATTCCCTAATCTCTGTAGTCTTGGATAGGAAGGAAAGAAAAAGAGGAGAAAAAGGACATCATTGTGTTGGCATCATTTAAACTTAAGCAGGGTGTAGGTTTTAAAAAAAAATTAAAAAAAAATTATTTGCTAGAAACTTTCAACTGCACCAAACATGTCCACTGCATCTGAGGTCCAAAGCCTAGGGAATCCATTTACCTTTTCCTTTCTAATATGAATGCCTTCACCAATAACCTCCTTCTTCTCCCTCCTGTAAGTTATGGAATATATATATATATAATTATGCAGATATACACACACACACACACACACACACACACACATATATATATGTATATATATATATGTATATATATATATATAATTCTGCTATGCCCAGGATTTTTTCTACTTGTATTGACCTATTACTGTCCTTATGGAAGGAATACTGGAATGCACTGCACACTGTTCATGCTTTCTTCCATCCTGAAAATGCAGGAGATGCCAGCAGAATTAGGTATCAACCTGGTGATTAACAGCTGAGAAAAACTTATTTACAACTGATTTATGCTGCTCCAGGATCATGGAATTCCAGGATGAGAATGGGACACAATTTGGATTTCGCATCTGATCTGATAATGTTTTTCAGCTTGGCAACTATAGCAGGAACTTTGCTGGGAGAAACAATAGTTAATATATTAATTCTTGTCTGGCTGTGGAATAAAGATTAATATTTTTAATTACACCTTTTTGGTTCCACAGGATGACTTGTCCCAGAGATGAGTCAAAGCAGCATGGAAGGACACTTCTATTACAAGATTTTAGTTTTGCTGGCTTCTCAAGGACAAGGACATATTTTGAAGGCAACATTCTGGAATCCACAACCAAACGAAACTGGTTTCATCTCTGCCAGTTGTGCCTTTTTCATCTTCCCATTAACCTTTTTCGCATCTCAGCTTATCTGACAGAACCACAAAACTCTTCCACATCTCTCTCCCTCTGATCCCTCTCTCACTCATGGCCATAACTTATTCAACTGTTCATTTCTAGCAACACTATCCATCTTCTTCCAGTCAACTCATGTGAAGGGGCCACATGAGGCTTCATCTGCTTCCATAATCACCATGGTACTACCTTGCAGCTCCAGCTTGTTTACGTATTAGTATGGGACATGATTCCTTCTCAGAATTTCCCAGGTAACATAAAGGCAAATTTCTGTTCCCTGTCCCAGTAAGTCAAACAAAACTTCAAAATAATTCTTACAAGAAAAAGAAAAAAAAAATAAGATCCTTTAATCCACACAGCTCCTGAACTCAATCTCACCAGAAATTTCAAGGGGGAAATGGGGGAAATAAAAAAAAAAAAAAATCAGCCTCATGAAGAATTCTGGTGTGGAAAATATAGGCTTGAATAGATTTTCAAAATTCAAACTTTGGAAACACTTGTAAGTACTTAAAGAGCACAGTAACCTGTCTCAAACACTGTTAAGGTCACAGAAGGATTTTGCCATGAGATTAACACAGAAAGGAGAGACAGGATGGCGCTAACTCCAGGCCTGGTGGAGGCAAGATCTGGCTAGCATATCCTGGGTAACATATCTGGACAAAAATTCCCACTGTGGCAAATTGTGTAAGGAAGCAACAGCTCATAGGCATATCACCAGTCAGACAAAGATCACCCCGAGGTCTGGGAGAGATGCCACCTGCAGCCACCAGTGACCACCTAAATATTCCTCTGCAAACCTGAAACTTGGACTGTAGACAACACAAGATAAAGGTGGTACTATTGTCCAGGTGCTATCTCAGACCTAGGGGGAGGTTAACAAAGCCTAGGGAAAAGAATGTATCGATGATAATGGACAATCCATGAGCCACAAAGAAAGCCAACTCAGCAACTGTGCTGAAATCAGCTCTGACAGAATTAAAGGTAATTCTGGCAAGGGAAGGCTGTGATCCCAGAAACCCATCAACTCAAAAGAAGAAAAAGACTGAGCATGCAGAATAACCAGCATTAGAGGTGAGGTAATCATTTAACCAATAGCATAAGAGGACAGTGTAGCCAAGAAGCATTAATTCCTGTGTTTGCTAAAATGTAGAGATAATGAAAAGTTTTGAATGACCTTGGGACGCCCACTACCAAAAAGCCCAGAGTGGAGAAGGACTAATAGGATGCTGCTGGATCCAGGGGTAGTGTTATTTTCCACCTGAACTCTCTCTCTCCCCCTCTCTCTTCTAATTCATCGTTAAATAAAATCTGTACCATTGACTTCGGTATATGGTCTTGTTTGCACCTTAATTTGGGCAGAGGCATCTCTTAATAATGAGATCTTAACAACATTATCATATTTAGTAGTGGCAAAATATCTTATTACACACGCTGTTATTAACCTTAATAGAAATGACCCAACAAACAGGTGTGTAAACATCAAGAAATACACAACTTGTTGATAAAATACATATGTTTTTAGTTGTAGGTCTTGTTAGAAAAATTGTACATGATAAATTATGAAATCTGTTGATATATTACAGGAAGCATAATATTTTCTCTTTCATATATAAGGGAAAAAATTAATTCTGTAGGATCTTTGTGAGAGAATCAGCCTATCATCATTCAATTAAGTGCTAGAATTAGTACAAAATTACCAAGCAGGACTCCTAGCCCCATCAAGTCATATAAGAGTCAGAAAAGTTTTAGACACCTAATTCTCCTGGATTTGGAAATTTTTTAGCTACACATTTATAAACCCTGCCCAGAGCCTCTTCACTTTGTACAGTAAGAGCGATATGAGATACAAAACAATAAAATGATAGAAGGCCTGAAGGGGAATAACTTAGAGCAGACAGAGCAAGCTTACAGCTTGCAATGTATCATGAGCCATTTGTTAAAGGCTCTTTACCTCTAGCCACTGCAAACTTTTGGCTTCACTGAAATTTATTAAAACCCCTGCATTTCAGTGGATGCAAAGTATAAGACCAATGGCATGGGTAACAATATTACTACTAATACCAATAATAACCACATTACTATGCAAGTCATCATTAGTCCCAAATTCACACACATGTACCTGTCATATGGTCAAAGACCATTAAATGTCAGGAATCTCACAGTACCTCTAAAAATGAATATGGAAACTTGTGGAAAAGGCAGCATGTTGAATCCTGCCACAGAGAACTGTATGTGGCAATGATAGAAATGCTCCTCTCAGAAGAGCTTTTTGTAACCCTGTGTTCTGTGCTAATCTTGTATGTGTTTATCTTTACTAGTGGAAGCAGTGCAAGCAGTGAAAGCTTTGAGTGCTCAAACTGCACATGGAATACATGTGAATGTTCCGGAACAAACTCTGCCCAGAGAGGTGGGATCTTAATGCTGTGGCAACATGATCGATCTTTTAATTTGCTACAGCCTGAACGGAAACTGAGTCCAAGCAAAAGGTCAGAACAGGCATTTTATATTCTGTGTTAAAGGAGGGGAGTAAAAAAACATCTTTGAGGAGTAAAGTAAGTAGCTAATGAGACACAGCACTGACAGCTGGAATTTAATAAGTGTCCACTTCACAAGGAAAATTGCTCAAGATAATTAAATACAGGTATCATTCAAAACTTCTGCTTAGAGCTAGACTTCAAAATCCTTCTGTGAAGCAGGACTGAAGAAGTTTTACATACCAAGTAACATAAGGGTGAATTTGCCTGGGAGGCTAGTCCTAAATTAAGAGGGTTAATTGCATAAAATTCACAGTCCTGTCAGTGGTAAATAATTCCAAAGGGACTTGTTCAGGTAGTAGCTTGGCATTACTGAAAAACAGACCACAGCTAAAAAGTACTGTTATAAAGTCCACCAAAACCTGAGACACATAAAAAGTTTATTAGACATTGCAGAAATAAAATGCAAAGTCTTTTTAGAGGGGTCCAAAATTCTTTACGCTTCAGGTCTATAAGGACTGTAAAACTCTACCTGAGAAAATTTTAAACAATCTTCTAATTAATTGCAGGATTTTATTGCCTCTCACAAGCTGTAAGTAAAACATTAACAGGGTAGGAGGAAGTACTCTTTGTACTAAGCATGATTCCAAACCCTGCTGACATAGCTCACTAGATGAATCAGGTTACATCAAACTGAGATTATAATGGGTACTAGCACACAGAATAGTGTTTCATATAGGGGATTGCATCCCCATAAATGAAGGTATAAGTTTCTAAATTATTGGGAGCATCTGTGACAGAAGAGCCTGACAGGTTTTCTGTAATTTGAGACATCAACATTAAAACATGACTACGTAACATATCCTTCAATAATGAAACTCGTATCCCTGAAAACATGTTTTGATCATCACTTAATCAGCAATCCTACAGAATATTGCTGGTATCACAAAAACAGAGCAGTTTAAGTGTCTAGATGGTTAAATGTTTTTACCAGCTATATCCAACAAATTTGCATTTACTTAAGAATGTGTAACCAAACCACACAGCCCTACACACTTCAGTGTAAAAGAGCACTGACTCTGCAATAATGTTTTAACTTACCTCATAGTACATAGGTGCATCCTTAGCCTTTTTTCCCTTTTGACGCCCAGATTCTGCGATCTGCAAGTAAATAAAGCATTCTACTGTGAGAAGATTTTATGTTTACCCAAAGTACTTTACTCATTCCCTTTTGCAAACACTACACTCACACTCCAAAACAGCAAGAAATCATCTTATGGCAGCCCTGTACCTTAGGGAGGGTGTTTTTTATCAGCACCTTGAAGAAAAGTCTGTAACAAAGCTTCATTTACAGGGAGCAGAGAAGCTTTTATTGTAAGCTTTTATTTTTCCATTTTTAACTCCAATGAGTTAGAGCAATGAAGCTGCTAAAAGTATAGAGAGTAAGTCCTATAAGGAGTGGATGAGGGAGCTGGGGCTGTTTAGTCTGGAGAAATCCATTTCTCAGAAGACACCTTATCAGTCTCTACAGTTCCCTGAAAGGAGGCTGTAGTAAGGTGGGGATCAGTCTCATCTCCCAGGCGAAAAGTGACAGGATGAGAGGAAATGGCCTCAAGTTGTTCCAGGACAGGTTCATGCTGGACATCAGGAAGGATTTTTTCAAAGAAAGGGTTGTCAAGCATTAGGATGGGCTGACCAAGGAGGTGGCAGAGTCACCATCACCACTTCCATCCCTGGAAGTGTTCAAGAAATGACTGAATGTGGTACTCAGTGCTGTGGTTTAGTTGATAAGGTGGTGTTCAAAGGTTGGATTCGATGATCTTAAAGGTCTTTTCCAACCTTAATGATTCTATGAATTAGTGTAATTTTTGAAACTTCCACAGACCAGTTTATCATTACCACAGACCAAAAAAGGCAGGGTCTAGAAGTGACATCTACAGTTTGGTGCATTATTAAAAATTACTGTCTTGGAATACCTGTCTGTCAATATCTTCACGGGTTATCACACTGAAGAGCTTTCGCAGTGGCACCTGCACAGCAAGAGCCAGGGCCTGGGTGTGGATTTCATCCTCAATCTTGGTCCCAACAATGAAAGTGATGCTAGGCTTCCAGTCATCCTACATTTCAAAATAACATATTTAAAATATTAAAACTCATGCCAACAAAAGTTCTTCTCTGCAGTTTCAAAGAGTAATCTTGTAGAGATGGCTTTAAGTCACTCTAAGACATATCAAACATCACTGTATTAATCACACTGAAATTGCATGCAACTCGAAAAAGCCCCTACTACTTTGTCCCAATTATTTCTGCCATCAGGTGGCAGCATTATGCTATGAAAAACACAAAAGCCTAACAGCCTTAAACCTTTTTGCAGGCAAATGATGCATTAGCATTTCACAAAGATGTACTAACTTTTAAATGGCATTTGCAGATTTGACAGTTCAGCAAACAAGCAAAAGAAATAAGTGAATTTTTAATATGTATTATTGTGATTATTCAATGTAGAAAAAAATTTACAATTTTCAGCTCCCTTGTCTTTTAATTAGATAATGCCCAGGTACTATTTTCTTTACATTGTAGCATTATTTTTATGATGTTTTATGAAGGTAAATTTATGCCTTCTATAGAAGGCAAACTATGGCTCTTGCATGGTTTCACTAAATATTCTGAATCAAGAAAAATTACTTACCAATGGCAAGTTTTACACTACAGTATTGGTAAGTTAAAAACACTAGTAGTTTTCAAACATTTGCAGTAGCATATGCATTACTGTACTGTAGAAAAATGTTTTCAGAGCTAAAAACATTCAGAACAAGAAAAGACTGGAACACATTATTTAGTGATGTACATCTACAAAAGCTGAAAAATCATGTAATTTAAGCAACTTTCACTGGTTCTTCTCTTTCACATTTCTACTGGGAATTCCTTCCACAGAGTGAGTCGCTATCTCCAGCACATCTGTATCTCACTCTAGAGTATTCTTTATCAGCATTAGTGGTGGCTGAAGTAGGACTATTTGTAATGGTTGTGATGCACAGGAATCACCCAATTTATTTTTTTTTCAATGCATATCTGCATATGCAAATGGCAAGGTTACCAATGCAGCTGCATAAAGGTAAATATGGAAAGGGATTCAGTCAGATCAAGGCAGTCCCAGGACAGTCACATTAATCAGGACCAGGCTAAGCAGAGTCACAGTCCAGTGTGCATCATAGCAAGGAAAGATTTTAAGAGATCTAAGACAGGGTGGTAACTTTAGGATATTGAATATTTTCATATATTTATACTACATACAAAGTCCTTGTGGAATAGAACAAAACCTGAGGTGAGTTATGGTAAAGTGAGGAAAAGGAGAATTCTAAGAAAAATATTTAGATAGTAAGAGAAGCATCTTCTTCCAATTTTACAGTACCCTTCTTCATTTGCTCCTTTTCTTAGCTGGTTAAAAACCTACCTAAATGTCTACAGTTTGAGTAACTGATGGCTTGGGATGGGAGAAAGCCACAGTTGAATTAAGCCTCAAAACGGTGCATGCTTGCATGGTGGGAAACAGTTTGTCAAACACTTAAGGTAACAAAGGATAACATCACATAAGTATGCCCCATTTTTCTAACCACAGAATATACAGAAAAACAAAAAGGATGTAAAGGTCAACTGGGTCATTAAATGAAATTGCAAGTAGCTACAGATCAGATAACTAATCCAAAAGGGTGCCTACAGCTCCACACATCATGAACTTCGTTGATGGTTTATTGCTGCACAAAATAAATCTCAAGCTTTTAAAATTATGAAGTGCTAGAGAGACCAAGCATATCACTGATGCTCTAGGAGTGTGCAAACATGGTGGAATTTATGAGTGTCCAGCTGCACTGACGCAGCAGACACTGCTCACCAGAGAAGTGGCAGTAGTAGTGGGGACTGCACCAAGTACACTGAATTGCATTTTGCTCTTTTAAGTCTTTCTGTCTAAAGCTGCAAGACAGCTACTGGTGCACAGCACTGTGAAAGAGCTCTAGGTATTCCAGTATTGCAGCTAACCTGGAATCAAGCTATCACTGTATACCTGCCAAGAGCTGGACAGTAAAACTTCAGCATTCTTTGAACAGGAAGTATTTAGATGCCAATGCTTGTGTGGAAATGCATAACTAGGCTCTCAGAACTGAGATTGAAATGCTCTCATGTGGCAGTATCCTGGTGTTCCCAGTGCTGATCACCAGATACAGGATTTTTACAATAACCTGTGTCATGAGCTAATGGAGCAACTGTTATCACCGCCCACTTAAGTGAGGATGACAGAGAGGAAAACAAGGTCCAGTAAGTCTCACAGAGATGCTGACAGCTCAAGAGCAGCTAGCATTAGGAATGTCAGGTTCTACTCAGGATCATACGGTAAGCATGGTCCAGCAGCAATACAGAGCTTACTCCCACAACTTCCTACAGTTCTTCAGATATATAAGAAAATATCTATGAGAGAGTTCTAAAACCCTGCCTTACGCCTTCTTCAGTTCCTCCTCAGAACATGCTGATAGCTTGCTGCCCACAAATTAAAGCTGCTTAGCACTTATTAATTACTGCAACAACAATGCCTGTGGAACCTGTCTTCCTTATCGTCCTCTCTTGATTTTTCCACCCACCCTGGTCACAACTGTTCCTAGTTAATTTCTCCTTCCTTTTCCACTCTTTGTTCCTCATCTCAGTTACACCACTTGTCTTAATGCTTCCCCCACCTGTGATTTGCTCCCCAGCTCTCGTGCTCTGTCTCCTTGTTTAGCAACTCTCCACTTTCATTATCTGATCCCACTTCAGGCTTTCTCCACCTTTAGATTCCTTCTCCAAATTCTTATCCTTTAGCCAATATAATAATTCCCAGGAATTTCCAGAGCAATGAACCCTCCTGCACAGAAGTACTGTAAGTCTTTCTAAGAGAAGAGAAATTTCCTTGTTACGTCTGTGGTGCCCACCTTCTCAGCAGCCTGTGACAAAGCACCAAAGCAAAACATCAGGGTAGGTCCTGCTTGTGCAAAATGAGTATAAAAAAAAAATAGGACTTATGCAAACAAAATTATGCAACTACAGATTTTTTTAATTCAAGAAGAAATTATCATCAGTGGGCCACATCTTCTCGCTGCTCTCTGCTTCAAAGAAACAAGGCGAAAAAGCTACTCCACAGAACAGCTACGAGAATATTTATACTATAGGCAAACCATTGGCTAATACATTAAAATAAAATACATGGAATGAGCCTCTACAAGATAACTGAACTTGTAGTGAAAATTACAACCTTACTTAATTCTACAGAAGTATATGCAGCTCAATACAAGGTCTTTTGCACAAAAATTTAGAAATTATTAGAGACGGCCTATTCTCCCTAGTGCTAAATGAAGAAAATAAACTGCTTTTCTAAGAAAAGTGCAATACCTGGAAATAGGAGCTGGAAGCAGTTAGTAAATATCCCAAGTAGCTACACACATCTTCCCAGTAAATAATGATCTAGACTTCTTGGAGTCATTAATAGCATGTCATCTATTACTAGACTGATCGGTTTTGAAGCCTTTAAGGATCATTTTTCCGAAGAGCTGCACATTGAGAACACGAATTGAAGTCAATAGTCAATGTGCAGCATAAATACACAGTTTAAGGTGTTTAATTGATTAGACTATTTTCTGAGGTTAAAAATCTAGTATTTTTGCAATCCTGCCTTTATATTATCGATCCTGTAACAGTATCCCTAATGTTCAAGGCACTGAAAGGACAGAGAAGAAACAGACCCTGATTCTACAGCTCACCACCTAAAATCACAACGTAAAAATGTGAAGGAAAAGTAGTAAAATGTATATGGTTACTTTAAAAATATTTTCTCCCTCAATATACAACTGCTCCTCTACTTAGTTTTATTCTTTCAAATGTTACTGTAGCATCAAGGCTTGAGAAAGGATCTGAGAAAGGATAGATTAGTGACCCTAAGGCTACCTCAAATGACGTTCCCAGCTTAATGAACAGGATAGAAAAAACCATAAAAATAACTACTGGAAAACCATGCAAACAGTCTAGGGAGATTGCCATTGAGAATTTAACATGAGCTCTACAAACTGCACAAAGACTAAAATGCAGGGAGCAGATATCCCACAGAATCAACAATGTGAATTTAGAAAAGAAATTGAAGCTGGAAATGTGGCATTGGCAACTGAACACTATTTAAGCAATCTGAAACAAACTCCAATTAGGGGCAGGCTAGATTGCTCTCACTGGAAAACATTCAGTGACAACCATTGTTACAAATGACACTGTCCAGTTTTAAAACTCCTGGCCATGTCAAGAGTTGAAATGCACCAAAGCCTCTCAGTTTTAGAAATAACCATCTGTGTGGGAAACTTCTATGCCCCTCAGTTGGAGAGGCTCCAAATCTGCAAGATCAACCTAATCCCGGAAGCTCCATGTAAGAAGCAAATGGTTGTCCAGAATCCTTGCTTTCACAAAACACAGAAGGTGCCTCATCTTCTCATGATTTTGCTCTCAACGCTCCACTGCGTTCCTCTGTAATGTGATTTTTTCCAACTGTTATAAACCAGTACGCATAGCCTGTAGATCTTCATCACAACAGTATTGGAATAGCATAGGTATGTTAAGAAAATACCTAACTTTAATCTACATTGAAGAAGAAAGCAGATTTTTTTCTTCCTTTTTATACTTATCTTGTTTTCTCTGCTTCATTTCCTAGACACAAAAGGGCAGCTGTTTTAGGGAAGACAGCTGAAGAAGTCAGGTATATTGTTTATTTTTTCAGTACCAGTTTCTAGTTTCTCCTTGGTCAAGAAAAGCTTCAAGCAGCCATCTTACCCTCCTCCCATTTCCAGACAGTCTGGGTATCTGTCATCTTATTTTTGTGGTACTTAATGTTGTGGAGTTAACTGGGTTTTTTTTTTTTTGTTTCTTTGTTTGTTTGGTCAGGCTGTGTGTTTGTTTTGTTTGACTGTCTGTTTTTTTTCCCTTAGGACAACAACCAGTAAGTTAATTTCATTACAGCAGTATTTCGAATTTACCTGTAAGAGCTGAGAAGGAACTTTTGAAAACTCAAAACATGTGAGCATCAAACATATTAGTGGTTTATGAACAATTAGCATAATTAGCACTCTTCATTTCCGAGACTGACAGAGCTTGTAAACCACCAGTAAATACAACTGGCATTACTGGGAAAGGTTGTTTATCAGGAGTTTTGTAGCCCCAAGGTGGTAGGACATCACTGCTTGGAAATCTGCAGATTCACTTGCACTACCTGCTGATTGACACACCCACATTTACTAATGACTTTTGCCCTTAAGAGCTTGAGGTTTTACTGTCAACATGAGCAGGTGAGAGAATATCAAAGCTCAACAGAATGTTAATTTTTCTCTGAAGAGGAAGTAGTATGAATAGCAATCAAAAGTGGAGCTACCCTATTCAGAACATTTTTAGAGGTTTCACAAGATTTAAGATCAATTTTCAGGCCCTAAAATGCCAATGCAATGAGAGAAATCATACAGATGGAAAGTCAGCACAGAACATGGCTTCCAGCTGCTATGCTTAGTTATACCAGTTAATAAGAACAAATAATAAATGACAGTTATTTTAATTAAGGGCTGTATTTGCCCAGAATTCACCTTTTGCTTAGCAAATATCGCCCTTTACCTACTTAACACATGCAAAGTGAATCTACTTAAGAATCATAATTTATATTTTGCAATTTAATTCTGTAGTGAACCAAATCAAAGCAGATTATAAATATCTGAAGGCAAATACAGTTTGCAACTCCATGTTCTTCTGCATAGCACATTACAAACAAGAAAGACATACATAAAATATAATGTGAGGCTCTGGAAAATCCATATTTCCTCTGTATGTGTTTTTAAGCTGTATGTTTGCCAGTTTTCACAGTGCATTTAATAAAAGCAATTATTTGGTTAGTAAATACCATTTAAATCATATTTTCGTTAGTATACCCATTCATAAAAATCTTAACAGCACTGGTAAAATGCTTTTCATAGATTGAACTAATAAAATAGTGAAAGTCATAAACACATTAAAATGTGAAATTTCACCACTCGGTCTATCTGGTACAATTTAAAGCCAGTTCTAGTAAATTCCCTTTGCCTCCAATAAAGGGAAAAATATTTTTCAAATTGATACAAGTAAAAGATTTAAAAATTCTTTACATATGAATTATGAGGAGAGACATTTATTTACTTGATAGAGTTCCTGTCATCTCCTAAATCATTTCAGATTCGTATCGTATTTCATACACAATACTGAGGATGAGTAAGAAGTAAGTTTTGTGCTCTATGTCTGGTGATATCTAAAATTCAAGCTGTTCAACACCCTCTTTTACAAGCTGCTTTCAGTTCCTGAGCTTTATATATCTGAGTTTAAACTTTGTATGTTATATTATTACTGGGGTAGGGTGGCTGGGGAGAGGGAAGTGTGGTTGGACTATTTGCAGAATGAGATTTGATTTTTAAAAATCATGTTTATCCTTTAATAAAAACCCCTATATGATTAAGTAATTAAGATATTCAATGCCCTCTGTGTTCAAGAGGAAGGAATTAAATTTGGCAGCAGAGCTGTACTTGTGTCAAAGATTTGCTTTTACAGAGCATGTTTATTTACATTATGTACACCCACATTTGGCCACACTTGATGAAACTTGATTCACACATGCTCAGAAGAGACTTGCTGGCATTTGACAGTTTTGCACCGAGTGTGCTCTTGCCCATGACTCTAAGAGCTGAATAAGAACACTCCTGCAGTAAGAAATTTCAGTGGCTGCCCAGCATCTCAGAAGCCTGAGTTCAAGCTGACAGCAGCAAGGGGACAGTTCTTCCCAAGTTCCCAAGGCTCTGTCTGTGAACAGCATGGCAGAGAAAGTGAAATTAGCTTAACTGGAACAGAAAGCAGTTAGACGATACCAGAATTACGGAAACAAGGAATCTCAAGTCAGCCCCCATGGGTACAGGCATTACAATAATCTTTAATTAGGTGATCACATACTTTTTCCTACAGAATTCTTGCCCTATTCAGTGAGCATTCAACATTTTTTCCATCTGCCTCAATGTGTGGTCCAGAATAATACCAACTTTGACATTTCCTAAATTTTAAGCATTTTATTTCCTACCTTTAAAAATACTTCAATATAATGGTTTGCATTTAAGAAATGTAATAAATTACGTCTAGAGGCAGCAGAGCATACAAAGCACCTTGTTCAGTGAATTCACTGCACAATATCCACAACCACAGTAAACGCCACCATAAAAAAACATAATCACTAATTGGCACCTTGCTAGTAAGCATTGGAGGAAGACCAGAAACAGAGTAGGTGATGGAGATTGAACCTTCACCCCATTCTTATGCTTCACGGATGTTTCCCAAGGGTAGGGACAAGATTCACAAGTAAGAAATGGCTCAAGCACCTTAGAACTCTACTAAAAAATCTGTGTTCCAGGGAAAAATGGAAAACAACAGCCTAAGCTATTGAAACAGTGGTCTTGTTTGGCTAAACTTGTATTATATGGTTACTACCAAATAAAAGTAAAAGCAAGTAAATATTTAAGAGCTTTCTGGACATATGTGGCTTTTTCGGGAAAAGCAATTAGCCAGTTTAAAAGCCTCCTCCTGAATTAAAAGTTCCTTATAGTTAACCAGTGCTGCTGGTATATTAAAAGAAAAAATGCAGCAAAACACAAACCCACATCAGCTAAAACAAAAAACTGCTTTTTTTTTTTTTGCTTTTTTTTTTTTTTTTAATAGGGCACAACAGGAATCCAGAAAACGAGGAAGCCACGGAAGCAATTTGTCTCACTTGCAGAAGCCGTGCTAGATAAACCCATGTGAAATAAATATTGTTTGTGAAACTACCACCCTATTTTGAAACCAAATTCTCTCTTGCAAGTCAAGATTTATGAGAATTACATTGCTTACACGGAACCTGGAAACCTAAATATGCCTTTAGATCCTCACACTCTGTAAAAGAAAAAAAAAAGGAAAAAAAAAGAAAAAAAAAAAGAAAAAAGTGCCTTTTAGCTGCACACACTCAGGCAGGAAAATTACAGCCTCACATTTTCAACGCTAGAGTTAATGCTGCGTCAGCACCTCCATCAAACCTCGTTGTTCAGCAGTTTATAAAAAGTTCACTCCGAGCCGAAACTGGGCACCCAGAGAGAGCCCAGAAAGGGAAGTGCCGAGGAGAGGAGGAGCAAAGAAACCCGCAGGGCTACGCTCGGTGGCGGGGCAGAGGGGCAAGGGCGGCTCCGCCGCTCCTCGGGACCATTCGCGGCCCTCCCCGGGGCCATCCTGGAGCCCCCAGGAGCCCCCGGCAGCCGCGACCCGCGGCCCGAGCCGCCTCAGCCCGCTCCCCGCTTCCCCCCGCGCCGCCGGCTCTGCCCCCCGGCTGCCTTCACCTCCTCGAGGCGGGCCGACACCAGAGCGGGCTCCCAGCTCGGCGGCCCGGGCACCGGCGAGTCCCGGGCGGACCTGGGCCGCTTGGGGCCCATGGCGGGGCGGCGGCGGCAGCGGCAGTCCCGGCGGCCCCACGCGTCGCCCCGGAGACCGCGGCCGCGGGCGGAGCCGGCCCGCCGGGGCAGCGCTGGGCCCGGCGCCGCGGCACCGCTCCGACGGGGAAAGGCTGGGGCGGCTGGGGCAGCTGGGCCGGCTGAGCCTCGGGAGGGGACATCTTCAGTGGCTATGAGTATCTAAAGGGGTTGTCAGAGCGTGGAGCCAGGCTCTGCTCGGTGATGCCAAGGCACAGGACAAGAGGCAACGGGAATGAACTGATGCACGGGAAGGTGCACCTAAATAAGAGTGTGAACTTTGCTGTGACCACACACTGAAACAGGCTGCCCGGAGGAGTTCTCACTCACTGGAGATAGGCAAGAACCAATTGAATCCAGCTCTGGGCCATGTGGTTCTAGGAACTCTGCTTAAGCATGGAGGTTGGATCGGATGATCCACTGTGGTTCCTTCCAACCTGATGGATCCTGTGCATTCTCTTGGGGCCTTTGGGTACTTTTATCATCATTTTTGAGACAGTGAGCTGCCTCCATCACGGCTGCTTGAAGAAGCCTCACTGAGGCTGTTTGGAGAGTGTTGGGCAGGCACACAGACACCAAGTGACACATCTCGTGAGTGAGGGGCTTGGAACACGAGTCCTATAAGGAATGGCTGAGGGAGATGGGGTTGTTTAGCCTGGAGAAAAGGAGACTCAGAGGTGACCTTATCACCCTCCACAACTCCCTGAAAGGTGGCTGTAGTCAGGTGAGGGTTGGTCTCTTTCACCAGGCAGCAGCTGACAGAACGAGAGGACACAGTCTCAAGCTGCGCCAAGGGATATATAGGCTGGATATTAGGAAAAAGTTTATCACGGAAAGAATAATAAAGTACTGGAATGGTTTGCCCAGGGAGGTGGTGGAGTCGCCACCTCTGGATGTGTTTAAAACAAGACTGGATGTGACACTCAGTGCCATAGTCTAGTTGTCGTGATAGGGCATGGGTTGGACTTGATCTTGGAGGTCTCTTCCAACCTAATCATTCTGCTGAATTCTGTTGAAAAAATACCCTGGGCACCAAGTGACACATCTCATCCCCAGGGCCAAATGGCAGCACCCGTGGAGTACCCCTGAGGAGGGTGGAGGAGCCAGCTCTGTGCCGGCAGTGGAGCGAGACCCGAGCAGCGAGGCGGGGGGTGCGCAGGTGTGGGCAGCTAGGCCTGCTCCCAGGCCCAAGTGGCTCTGCAAATACTACCATATGTTAAGCACTGGGACCAGAAGGGGAGAGGGAGGCACTGTTGGGAGAAAACAGGAGAGCTGCCAAGATAAAGAATTCATTACAGAGGAGTCATGTCGTGATCTCACACTGGAGACGAGTGAAATATTCTGTGTGATTTAACATTTGGTGAAAATACCCCAAACCACATGCTGCCCTTCCCCCACCCCCTTATACTGACTGGAGTCGCTCAGAGCCTCCAAATCTTTATTTTATTTTCGTCAGAGCTTAAAACCCTGCTGTGCAGTGTGTTACTGCCTTAGTCAAGATTTCATTCTGGGATGATACTGACCTAGTGTGTGTGCTGTATGAAACACCTTTTATTACACAGCTTTAGTGAAGAAGTAGGAATTTAGCTTCATAGGGGATGTAACGAGAAAGTCTCGCATCATTTTAGTTTGCAGAAAGGTATCTTCCCAGTGTTTGTAAATAGTGATGCAGTTGCTAACCTGGGAAAGCTGCACAGTAGATTTGCCAGCATCCATTAACATTTCCCCCAGCCCATCTCTTGGCTGGTGTCGATTTTTCTCTTTTTGAGTTTTTCTTTTATTATCCAGAAAAAAACAAAAATCAATCTTCACTTGTTCAAAGAAACAGGCTGCATGATATTCCCACCATATCCTTGTTTTTCACTAAAGTCTTGGATACACAGCCTGTGCCTGCTGAGGTGTGCTGACTGTATGGAAAGGAAAAATGGGGTAGGATCACCAGCTGATGTAGCAGAACAATGGAGGAGTTTGGGGTTGAATGCAGAGATAACATTGCTAAATATCCCAACTATGAACCACCCTTCAGATTTTTCATGGCTCAGTTTTCAGGAATAAATATAAATTTCAGGAGGAATGACGGGAGAGGGTTGTGCATCCAGATCTTAATAGTGTGTCTGGAATGTGCGTTGCCATGACTTTGGTGAGAGATGACTACTGTTTAATTATGCCCCTGGATCTGTGTGGATCTGTATCCTCATATCATTGGAAGGTTAAAAACCAGACAGACTGGTGTTAGCCAACCAGCAGTTCTGAGAACACAAACAGTAGCTGTGAGAACCATGAACTGGCCTGTTTATATCTACTGTGGGTTTGCTTGTTGCATAAGGAATATTTGAAGGAAATGGTTTTGTTCTGCTGCTTACCAGCTTAGTAAATGCATCTTGATAACTTGTTTAATGTTGGATGCTGTAGCAAGATAGCAAGTCCAACTAAAGTAGGACAGCTGATCACTAGGTGTTTATACCGGTTTATTTAAAATCACCTCCACCACTCTCATAAACAAAGGAGAGGAAGAAATTTGATTTATGCTCTATTATAAAAGGTTGTACCTTATAGTCCTAAAATGGGTTATCTGTCAGTGAAGTCAGGTGAAGACATCGCCTGTTTGCCTGCATGTCCCTGTCCATTCTGTTGTGCTGCCAAAGATCCTTGTAGGCCAAGGTGTGAACCAGATCACTGAAACCCCCTTGGTTAAATCCTGAAACAGACAAATCAGGAATACTGGTAAACTACAGCCTTTGTTTCCTCCAAATGGTCTGGACTGCACAACACCCATGTGTTCCATGTTTTGCAGCTGAGCCATCTGAAAAACTTCAGCTTCCTTCTGATAACTAAAATATGAAGCTGCTGCAATCTCAAAATTTGTACTAGCAAAGCTGGATGTAATTCAGCTATACTGATAAGCCTCTGGTTAGAGGAATAGGCAAATTTCAGATTCAGAGAGACAGTATGGAGTTTGGGGTACCTTTGCAGAAAACAGGAGTGTGTAGATGTAAGCTTGACATTTCCAAGAAGTGAAATTTGGTCTAGTGCAAGAGTTAATGGTGCTATCTGTGATGACTTTATGTGTGACAGGAATATTTAAGGTGAGATTTTCAGGGATATTGGCAACCTAAAAATGCCAAGATCAGCCTTTAATTTTTTGGCTTATTAAAAACACTACTTGTAAATTCATGTGTGGAGTAACCTAAGACTTGAATTTATCGTACGCTTGCAATTCTGAATGATACTCTGTATAAATAAAGCATAGTTTACCTTTTCCTGGGAGACAGGTTAACAAGCCTGTGTATTATGAGATTATACAGCAGGGTAAGAAAGAATGCATGGTTAATACTGGAGTACTAGCACTGTAATGTACTGTGGAGTAGCTAGATTCAGTAACATGTCTGCATGCCCACACTTTTAATACTAGTATAGGAGGAGTGATTAAAAATGAGGTGTACTCTTTATCTCCTTCAGGGAGAGAAGGAACATTAGTTACCTTTTATTTTGGGGCAACTTAAAGAACACTTGCACTTGTTCTTCAGTAAAGTGTGGGGAATGGAAAGGCATTACTATTTGTATGTGTCATTTCTTCTCTACTTGATATTTTCTGAAAGACTATGGCTGACTAAAGGACCTGTAAAGGTTTTGATTCTTATTAATTAAAGCCTGATTAAGTGAGAGGGGAATTAATTTTAATACAGCTTGCTTTGTTTTAAAAATGTGGTTGTTTTAAATGCTTGAAAATTATTTGGAAAAAATTATCTTTTCAGTAAGAGCCATCACCTTCTCGCTTTAATTGGGAAGTAAGTGGAGTCTCTTTGCTTGGGTCCTTAAGAACACATTTAATTGCTTTATACTGCTTTCATAAGATTTAAATGTTGCTGAAACAGGGAGGCTTCCTGAATTATGGCTTCAGAAAGCTGTTTCTGTTTTAGAAAACTGGCCAGAAAAGCTGTCTAGAACAGCTAACATGGCTCTCAGCACTGCGAAGGAAACAGCCTTTCATCCTCCTTATATTTCTAAAAGAAGAAGAAAGGTATTAAGAGAAAAGAAAAAAGCACACTTCCTCCCCCTTAGCCCCCCACTACCACCCCAAGAGAACACTGTTCAGTCCTTTTTCCCCTCAGAAAGGAAGAAAGGGAGGAACATAAAACTCATTTTGCTCTCCTTTCCAGTTTCATAGCACTGCAGCATCTGGGCTGGGAACAGCTTTTGCTTGAAGTTTGCAACTCCCCAGGACACAAACGTCTCACAAGTTACACAGATTCGACAGCTATAGCATGTGTTACTACAGCCTCCCTGAACTCTCACATACCAAGCTGGATGTAGGAGGTCTTTGCCTACAGTTGCTGCTCTGGCCACCAAATGATTCTTTATAATTTATTTCTTAGTCTCTATATTTGTTTATATAATTTGCATAAAGCTTCCCACATGGGCTGAATTGGCCTGTGGATGTGGACCAAGTATCTGTTTTGGCTCCTAAAGCTTATTTCTACATCAGTGTATTGTAAGTGCATGTGCCACAAAAGGGATAAAGGTAAAGCCAAGTGTAATATATTAACACATTCCCCTTCTGAATATGACATGGTGCTCTTATTTTCCTAGTGACAAAGGTCAGTAACTTCTTCATTAGACTGAGTTCTAATCATGAGACAATAAAACAACCTTTCTCCTTCTCAAACTGTAATGGGCCTTCCTGATAAAATAAGGGTTGCTTGATGGTTGCTGAACTGTGAGAACTTTCAGGGATGGTTTGAGGGAAAAACAGCTGGATTGTAAATACAGTGCAGTTCAGACAAGTCCATCAGCCACATGGCAGGGCCTGCCCACCAGTGCTGGGCCACTCTATGCCCTCTCTGGGCCTAACCTATTTAAGCTGGTCCGTCCAATAACATGGCCAAAGCAAAACAAGTTGTAGATATTCCCTTCTCCCTCCAGCTCTTGCATTTAGTGGGTGCCTGGCCAGTCAGTGTTTTTTT